GAGAGAGAGAGAGAGAGAGAGAGAGAGAGAGAGAGAGAGAGAGAGAGAGAGAACCAACTTCCTTTGTTTGGAAGTTTAAATATTCAGGCTTGCAGTGGCCATGCCTATTCTGGCCACTGGCTGGCATCTGGTTGTGATTGACTGGTAAGCACCTTCCCATGTCATTCAGACCTTATTGGGCATGTATCTATCTGGTGTTCCCATTTCTCCTTTCCTGTTATATAATAAAGAGATTATTACAACAGCATCAGTTATGGGGCAGTTCATAGATATGATGCTCAGGGAAAGGCCTCTTTGGAAAAAATGATGACTGAGTTGACATGACAGTTATTATCAGGATGCTACCACCACTAAAAATATTGGTAGAAAGTCACAGATAGATGAAATAATAACAAAATTCCTAAGATAAGACCTTGGAACCTTCAAGAAATCCACAGGAAGCAAAGGCTGTCACAACTTAAGAGACTATAGAATGACTTTAAATAGCTCATCATTTATTACATTTTATCATGGTGTCAACAGAAAGTCCCTGGGGGATGTAGGTTTGCATGTGCATAGTATTGTTATTGGAGAAAAGTGTGGGCAGTCTTTCTCAATTGCTAGTGAGAAATGGAGTACTTGGAGTCCCTCATAGGAGGATGAAATATAGTAGAAAGTTTTATTTCCCTGGAATTACATCCCTTCAGTAAAGCTAAAAGCAGAGCCAGTGTCCAGAGCTTTCGTTTCATGTTGGAATTTGGTCTGGTTTAGCATTAAGCTAGTTGCAGCCCATCAGTCCATTGTTTGGGATCCACATGGCTGTGGGTCATGTGGGTGAATGCAAGAGAGCGTGAACATGAGAGTCTCTGAGAACCAAGGAGTGCAAGAGTACAAGAGTGAGCTTCTTTGTTTAGGGGCTTAAATATCTCAAAACTTCCCACGTTTGCAGTGGCCATGCATACTCTGGCCAACAACCTGTTCCTGGGTGTGACTGTCAGGCAAATACCCTGCCTATTTCACCCAGACTTTACTGGGCATACATCTATTCTTCCCCTGTCCAGTCCCTTCCCCCAGTGATCTGCAGGGAATAGTCCAGTGGCTTCCCTGGAGGGTGTTAAACTGCACCATCCTGACAAAGCTGCTCAAATGGCATGCCTATAATATTTGGCCTTCCGTTTGCTCCTTTTCTGTTATTAATGATTAGATTTATTACAATGTATCAGTATGATCTGATTTATATTTTAAAAGCTCACTTGATAAAGGATAAATAAGTGAAGCACTTGGAAATACTAAAATCTATTGACTGGACTTTCAACTAGTTGCAGAGGTAGGTGAAGTTATTCCAAATTGAGTAAGAGGACACAAATACCTCAAAGATGAAGAATATAATCTCTGAAATCAGGTGAAATAAATAAAGGAGATTTTGTTTGTTTTTTAATTATTTTTCAGCATTTTTTAAAAATACATTTTAATTGATTTGAGAGAGAGAAAGGGAGGAGAGAGAAACATTGATATGAGAGAGAAACAGTCTATTGCCTCCTGTACACACCCTGATCAGGGATCAAGCGTGCAACCTGGGTATCTGCCCTGATCAGGGACTGAGTTTGTCATCTTTTGGTGCGTGGGACAATGATCAACCAACTGCACCACATCTGCCAGGGCAAAGCCAGGAGATTTTTGTATAAAATAATTCTGAAATGTTAGAAGCAATCTATGTTTTGAAAACTTCATAGGGTAATGAGTGTGAATGACATACCCATCATTAAAGAACTGCAATTGTACATGGATGGATGCTGGCAGATGGACAAAAAGGTGAGCAAATACTACTAACAATCGGAATACAACATATATACACAAATAATCATATGCCACAATAAATTAGGATTTAAAACCGGAATACAAAAAATTTTTTACATGTCAGAATCAATTATCTATATATACTGTGTTAGTAAGGAAGAAAACCTACATGGTTATCTGAATATATTTTGCAGGGAATAACTGATAGGCTTTCCTGTTATCCCTTGGACAGGTGGCCTAGCCCACTGGATCCTGTATAATCTCCACCTCCTCCCATTTCTGAGCCCCAAGCAAAGGGATGAGGACAGAACTGGGATATCCCACTGCGTGAAGGCGGGAGGAGGAGGTCAGTCTTAGCATTTCTTCATTCACACCCATTTCCTGTCTCCTTTCCTCATTGCGGAAAAAACTTGAGGCCAAGTGCCATTTTCATCTCGGTTCCTTTGCCAAGTGGAGATTCAAAGTGCAATAAAACCGAGTGATACAATTGGAAGTGTCAACAGTGACGCAGCTGCTCACCGTGATTAATGCCATCTATCCTTTCATTTTAATAGTTAAGCATTTAGGTTTGCAGCCATTCTCCTGCAGGTTAGTACCCTTACAGTAGATTCTGTTTCAATACCCTCCCCCGTCCCTTTTTCTTATTTTAAGCGGTTCTCCATGGAGCTCTTTTTCTATGCAGCTTTAACCCGAAGGGAGTTGGAAACGGAAGTTATAAACATGAGCTCGGTCAAAATCCCCGGACAGGCCCTGGGACAGTCAATGCTATGAGATTTCCAACCTTTTTTATCCCATGGCACACATAAAGTAATGACTAAATTCTGCAGCACACCAAAAAATATATTTCGCCAGTGTAACAAAAACATAGGTATAACGTTGAGTCATTTACACTCCATAGCTAGTGTTGGTGGTTGTCTTTTTTAGCCTTAGGGAAAGAGGTCAGTGTCCCTGGCTAAAAAGAGAGGTATTGCATGTTTTACAAATTCTTGCAAAAATTTCCAGTGGAAAACCGCTGCTCTAGTGCACTGTTTTTACCCAGGATTCTACCCTCCCGTATTCCAATCTCTCCGGATCTAGGAGCCTCAGTCAGGGTTCAGCTTCTGGCTTTGGGCATGAAATTTACAGTTCAGAGAAAGTGAGGACTTACGGAGTGGTGAAACGTAGACAGAAAGAATCCGCAGAGGGCCTTAGCAGGCAGTCAACGTAGCGCTAAAGCTTACTGGCTGGAAGGAACGTAAGAATGGTG